AGTGGAAAAGCTTGCGAATGAATTAATATCCGATGTTATTTCAAAAAAACGCACGGAAGGAGATTCCTTTCAGATCACTAAGACCAAAGAATGCGTTGAATTTTATAAAAATCTTGATAAGGTACATTGATAGCTTTCGATCGAATCACGATTCTAGGAAAAATTAACGAATTAAAAACTCATTTATGCAGGAAGACAAGATCAAATTTTTGCGTGTACTATATCGCAATTTTGGTGGTTATAATTCATCACTGATACTTAGGTTTTGTGATTCTGAGATTAGATAAATTCTTGATGCATTCATCATGAAAATTAATCCAAAATTTTATCTCAGGCGTTCCAAGAGAAAAGTCTGTTGAAGCTGCACAACGATACATAAACTCATTCAATGAAGATCCAGTAAATATATCTTCCACATATATTCCAAACAGATGGAAAAGAAAGATTAACGATATGTTCATTTTAGTATGGAAGAGCAGCCGTTCGTGCCGAAATGGTATTAAGACATTCTATGATACCATCACATGATGCTTTCTTTGACCATATGGTTGCATTGCCTGGAGGGACTAAATTTTTGGTAGACATGCGAGCAGACTTGTTGGTAAATTGTTCAAATATTTTTATGCCGAACTAAAACCGTTCTGTTTGTCATCGACAATTTATTCGTTCTTATATTGTCTTGTAGCAACATATTCGTGAAAACAATCACGACGTGGGATTGACAGCTCTTAATGAGTATTTGAAACATAAGTTAGCATCCTGGTTGTTAGGGAATATCACTTTAAGAAGAATAACATGGGATTCTCCTGGTTCCATCCTGGAAAATGTATTTAACCTTCATTTTTTCTCTTTGCTTTTGTGAAAAAAGTTTAACTTTTGAACTCTATTTATAGCTGACTAAATACGAAGCGGTTCATGTGATCAAAGATTGGAAGGATTTGAAAAGGTTGAATATTTTATTGTGACCGCGGATGAATTTTTCCGAATTAGTATTTAAACGTTTTTTTTCTCCCTGTTTCTAGGCGAGTTGGATCCGGTAAATTCATAGATTGCGTTTAATAGAGATGAAAAGGTTCAGCACAAAAGCTCCCGTTTAATTGCATCAAAAATTTTAGGGAGACGTCTTTTCGCTTTCTTTCACAGTGAGATGCCGCACGATCCGCTCATCTTTATTAATGTAGCACTTGTCAAAGAACTTACAGGAGATGTCCTGGTAATTGTGTAATCAATAAATTTTACTCTTGTTTTCGACTTTCCTGAGAGTTCATTGTTTTTACAAATTCTCAGACGATATTAAAAGAACCGTCGCCTGGCGCATCGTTAAAATATGAAGAAGTGAAATGTGCGATATTCTATTCGATCACTTCACAACC